TCAATTGACAACACAAGTACCATGTGTTCACATTCCTTCAATGCTGGGGAGCAACTGTATGTTAATTACTTAACTAGGTTCACTATTTTCTACCCTTTGAGAAGCAGGATCTAAAAGTTCATGCATTTGAGCAACTTGAAGGAAATAACGTTTCTATAAGACTCACAAAATTTAGCAAAGCGACACTAAGATTTCATGTGAACCACAAGCTTTGATCGATAACTGCTTTTGAAAATAAATTATGTAACAAGTCAGTTTGTTTAAGACAAATCATTTCAAGGTAAGGAAGTCGTAGAAGGAAAACAGAGAAAATGGTTTTGGCGATACAGAAACGGAATACTACAGGTGGAACACAGTACTTCTAGCCAGCAAGGCCCTGACCTACACTTGGCACTTACTGTTCACTTTTGACTGAAGTATCAATGGGAAAGCCAATCAAATGTTTCTGTTAAAGATGCAACTTAGGAATATATTTGCATACTTACTATGCCATAAACCCAGGGGCAGATGCCCTTGCGAACCCTCTGATGGGCAGCAGGACACAACCAGCACCAGGGGCTCATTACCTCCAACTACAGCCAACACAACCAACATTGTTTCCATGCTTTAGATTTCCATTCAGACAAGGAGAGGTGGGAATGGAAACCACTCTGGGGAGCACCCCTAGAGCCTGGGTTTTAAATGATGGAAAACTTTAGATGAACAGATATCAATTAAGAGCTTACGCTGATTCACACATCCATCTTCAAAGTCATAAGATACTAAATACAACTCACATGCCAGCGCTCCCACGAACACAGTAACATGACATGAAGACAACAATAGTTCTGTAACTCATGTGGACACCCAACGATATCTGCATATATCTGATCTGAACTTCTGCAGGTTTAGGAGCTAAACTTGGGTGTTGTGATGTAAATCACATCTCTTTTCCTCTTTCCTAATCCCACCCTTAAACACACCTCATCTCATGCCAGACTCAAGCAGGTTCCCTCTCTTATTCTCTGCTTAGCCCCAGTTAGGAGGAGTAATTATAGGACTGCTGATTTGTTCCATACTCGTTGTAAGTACTGATGGCATGTAGGTCAGTCTGCTTACCCTTTGCTACTGCTACCAACCAACACTTTCCTCTCTCAAAACAAGCAGTGGAAAGAAAAACCCATTAATTCTCTGTCAAGATATTCCTTTTCACTATAATGGCTCTGATGGAAAGAGTGGGAGTCAGGACTATTATATTCAATTAGCAATGCGGTCTCGGGCAAGGCGATTCTGTCTCTTAGACCCTCATTTCCTTTATTGTAAGGACAGAGAGTTGGATGGTATCAGAGGTTCCCAAGTGATCTCAATTCATGGAGCATGCTTAAACATTGTCAAAAGGTTGCAGCGGACAAAAGGCTTCAGCATCTTTTTTCCCTCCTTGGCCCAAGCAGCTCTTAAGTCTTGTTTTACAAGTAGCTTCTTTCAGATTTACTTTATCACAGGCTTCTTTTGTTTAAGATGCTCAGCATGGTGCTGGGGACACAGCCGGCACTCTGCTGATTTAATGAATGCCTAAGGATCTAGGGTGATCTCTGAGATCCCTTCCCACACTCACTTTTTATGGTTCTGTGGCTGCTTAAAGCAGTCAGTCAAATGGGGCCCAAATGTCTACATGCAAAGATCCCAAGATTGTTTCTTGTTCCTCCATCCCTAGAGACAAAATGTGCCTCAGGTTGGCTCTAGAAAAATTCCTCATAACCACTGGGTACAGAGTCAAATAGTTGGCAAAGAGTTCTACTCTTTGCTGAGTAGAAGGACGAAGCTTATGCTTGAAGGAAATCCAAAGTCATGTCCTTACAGTTGTGGCATGCAAATGCAAGAGAGATGGCAGTAGACTAAAAACAGCATCCAAGTACAATTCAAACCAAATGAAGGGATCAGGATGTGCAGCGCTGCTCTAAAGTCCCCAGCATCTGCAACAGACACCGCACCTCTGCGCATAATTAACTAAGCCATCAGGACTTACTCTGTGATTTTGGGGTCCAGGTTGCCAATCCATAATCGGTGTCCTTCCTGTAGAGAGCCCTCTGAAAGGATGGATGCGTTCTCCAGGGGAAGAGTTTTGGTTTCTGCTTCCATCAATCTCTAAGGAATACTAAAGGCAGTGTGAGCATTCAGGCAGGGGAGTGGAACAATTGGGTGAACACAAACTTCATATGCAATTTATCCAAGGAAGGCATGCTCTCTGGGCAGTCCTTCAAAGGCTTGTTGTTTCCAACGGGGCCTCAGACCAGTTCCCTTGGGACAACCCTTTAGCAGCCAGAACTGTCATTGAGGATAAAGAGGTGTGGCTGTGTGGAGAGTCTTGACTCTAACCTCTATCACCACAGGATACTGGGGGAGGGGGGAGGATAACCAAGAAGACTGCCTTGATGGTGTTGAAGGGAATGGGGAGGGAAGAACAGCTTTTGTTCTTCTTGGAGCAATTCAGCAAAGGGAGGCGGTGCAAAAAATGTGAGCACAGATACCACACTTAGAGCTGGATATGAAAGCAGGTTGTGTGACTTAGTTAATTTTAGAGGCCTCAATTTCCCCAAATGTAAAACTAGAGGCAGTAGTTCTTGTTTTGTTGTTGTTTTTTGTTTTTCAAGACAGGGTTTCTCTGTATTGTTTTGGAGGTTATCCTGGAACTTGCTCTGAAGACCAGGCTGGCCTGGAACTCACAGAGATCCGCACGCCTCTGCCTCCCAAGTGCTGGGATTAAAGGCGTGCGCCACCAACGCCCAGCTTGAGGCAGTTGTTCTTATTTTATAGGGTTGTTGTGAAGATTACATATATTTACAAAAAAGTCATCAAATACTGTATTTAACAACAGTAAGTAGTCAATATACATTGGCCATTGATCACCACGTTTACTGTTTTGGTAGAAACAAGAGACGAATTTCCTTAGTTATTAGCAGTTCACGACTTTCAGCACGTCACGTAACTACTTTTCACTTTAGTCCCTTGTGAGGACAGTATCTCATAACAGTATACAGCTCGGTCCACATTATACACCTAAGGCTTTTAGAGTCACAATTCCTAGAAGTATTCAAGACCAATAATCATCACTAGTCTTAATTTCTGAAGTATCTCATCTCAGAGCAGGCAAATGATGGCTGTGGCAGAGGCAGCTGCGCAAAGAGCAGAGAGCCTGGTGCCAGAAGACCTGGCCTTAAATTGTTCCATCTCCGCTGAAGCTATTTTTGTAGGTGCCTGTTTCCTCGTTCTTATTTATTTACTTTATTTTCATTTAGCACAGGCAGAGGTCAGAAGATAACTTTCAAGAGTTGGTTCTCTCCTTCCACTTTTCCTTGGGCCCTAGGGATTGAACTCAGATTGTCAGGCTTGTATGGGAAACACATTTACCAACTCAGCCTGGTTTCTTCATGTTTTAAAGTAAACTTTGAGGGGCTGGAGAGACGGCTCAGCAGTTAAGTGCACACTTTACTCTTGCAGAAGACTGAGGGGTTCAGTTCCCAGCACCCAATTGGGGGCTCACAGCCATCTCTAACTTCAGCTCCAGGAGGTGAGATGCCCTCTTCCGACTTTTGCAGCGACTGCATATGTGTGGTGCACACACATAGATGCAGACAAAAGACTCATGCACATAGAGTAAATAAATCTAAAAAATTCATAAAGAGAAACCTTGCTTTGCTTATTATTTAAGGTTGCTGCGAAGAAATCGAGTTGATAGTCGAAAAATGAAATATTAACAAATCTATACTATGATAAAGGAAAAATAAAGGGACAAGGAAAATAGCAGGTTATGCCAGACTTCAGACCTCCGTGCTAGAAAAACAAAACCAAACAACAACAACAACAAGAAAACCATGTATCTTCTATATCTGGAAGTACCTCAGAGCTCAGTCCTGTAGGAAATAGTCCCTATCCAAAGAATGCTTATATTTGAAAGGAGAGCAGAACTCAATTTTTAAAAAGCAAAAGATTGAAGTAATTAATGACAGATACTGTAAACAGCAATGAGAAGGGTCAAGTGGACTTGGGGTTGCACTGCTTTAGACCGAGTGGAGTTAGATTTGATCGCCAGAACTTCTAATGTTCTTAGGTCTAAAAGCAACAGTAACACCAAAAGATACTTAAAAACTGCCAAAGATGCCACGTTTCAGTTGGAAGAACACAGGGGACTAGAGATCTGTATTCAGAACTGATTTTTCCAATTATTGTGCCCTTAGTTACAGTATCTCCCTTACATATCTTTCTCACATTCTCTGTCTCGGCCACTTTTCTTCCTTCCCATATAATGTGAATACAACGCATTGGTTACATTTTGCCTATGTTTCTAAAATGATTAAAAGCTCCTACAGCGCAGGGCCTTGCCTGCCTTGATCATAGTTCTACGCCCAGCCTGGCTCAGAGCTGGTACTATTTTCTTAGAGAATGAATGAAACAAGGACAATTATCTTCTTTCCAAAGACGGGGGCAATTATTCCTACGTCACGTGGCTACTTTAAGTAAGAATATGTATGTGTGACAGCTCAGCACATGCATTTTTGAAGGTCTAGTAAGGTAGTATGCAGCCAGCCAATCTTTTGGGGGTTTGCAACGGAGGCAACTCCTTAGGGCACCAGTTCATAAAATGCCTCCGCAGCTATCCCTCCCAGCTGAGCTGTGTCATCTCCAGAAGCCGGGAGGGGGCCGGGGTCGCTTATTCCTGAACGCCGCAGCGGGGTCAGGCCAGGAACCAGGGGTTCGCGATTCCCCCGGCTGCTAAGGTCACTCACGGGCTTGTTATTTCCGGGCCAGGAACGGGACAATCCGGGGCGGGGCCTAGAAGCCTGCGGGTGAGGGCAGGGCCCGCCAAGGTTCCCCCCGCCCACCCACGGCCAGGCCGGCGCTGAGCTTCAGCTCCTCACCTGCTAGCCTCGGAGCTGTACCTCAGCTCATGTCCCGAAAGCAGGTTCCGACGCCGGGGTCCGAGCGAGGGACGCGAGGGAACCTCAAGCCGAAACACAGCTCGCCGCCGGGCCGCCCGTGACGCGCTACGTCCGCGCCGCCGCGCCGCCCATGACGTCACGACGCCCGCACCGCCTTCTCCGCGGCCGCTCGCGCTCCTCTGGAATCCGGGCTGTGTGTAGCTGGTGAGTGACATCGAGGGGCGGGGGGTGGTCTCAAGGCGCGGGTGGGGCCCTGGTGCCAGTGAGGCTTTCTCAGGGACCTCGTGGGGCTAGGCTACCGCCTGTGACCGCTTCAGCGGGGGTAGGCTCGACCTGAAGACCCGGGTCGGGACTTCTGGTCCCTCTGCCTGCTCGTGTCACTCGCTCACTCACCCGGCCGGCGTTTAGAGCCTTGCCGGGGGACGTGGTAAATAATTCCTGCCATTTAGGACGTCGCCCGACAGGAACATTGCCTCTTCCGAACAGCCCCTGCGCGCGGAGACGACGAAGACACGAAAACCTAGCGCCGTCTTCCCTAGGGTTTCGCGGCCCCCCCGAGTGGTGGCGTTTAGATGCCACCCAAGCCCGAGTCGAACGCCAGGGCTTTTAAAGTCGTCACTGGAGGCCCTGTGGGCAAACAGTTGTCATTTCAATGGTGCTCCAGCAGTTCCACTACTCTGGCACATTTTACAGATGAGATTGAGTTCACACACTTAGGAAGTACTAGAAGCGGGACTCTTGTCTTTCCCGCCCCCTCCCACCCCCTCCCTCCGTTCCTGCCTTTTTATTAGCTCAGACACAACTGTTTGTCTTCTGGTTGGATGAGGCAGTGAGTCAGAAACTTGCCACTTGTCTGTCATTCATCAGGACACTCAACGAAGTTGACTAATTTTGCCATTTTCATACCTTATAGTATTTCAGCACAGCTAACGACCTTCTTTTACGGTTTTTCTTCCCGGGGGTGGTGTAAAAAAAAGACTTCTTCCTTTTCTTAGCCCCACCACGAAATTTCAACATAAGATAAAAGGGTGGACTCCTTTTGAATGTTGTAGTCAGATGAAGTTATGTCCATTTTCCAGCTGTTTACCAGCAAGATGAGCCTCTGCTGACCAGGAGGCATTCCCTCTTTATGCTACATCTTCTATAGTGTGTGAGGGTTCATCGTGGAGCATGTTCCATTGCATTTCCCAGAATTTTCGAGAACTTGTAGTTGGAAAGGCTGGAAACCTCATCTGATTCCTTTAGTGAATGACTGAGGGAAAAAAAAACAAACAAGCTAGGAGAAGATTTGCTACAGTGCATGTCCTTGGCAGAGCTGTGATACATGCGTTTTGAGCATGGGTAGTTGGGAATCCAAAAGGTACATGTGATGGGAATTGATGAACTTCCAGTCTTTAGGTGAAGCCTTTTGTCCACTTTTTATTATTCCTCTTTGGCTTCTGCCAAGGACATTTGCATGCTGTATTGAGTCAGATATTACAACTACCTTTCTTTACATGATACTGAATTTGAAAAAGAGCACACCCTGTTCCAAACAAAGAACTGGAAAACCAGGCATAGTGGAGGCAGTGTTGAGAGGCAGATCCCAGGACGGGCCATTAGAAGTGTAGACTCTGATGCAGGCGTTTTGATGTTGGGCAAGGGTTTAGTCTTTCTGGAGGTCTCTTACCATACTTACCACATTTGTGTGGTATCTGTCTTCTTGTACTGTACTAAGTACAGGGTACAGTAGTGAACAAATAGATTAGTCGATAGTCTACTAGATTAGCCCATGGAGTGCTGACAGCCATATGAAGATACTTAGACGAGGATCAAATAGTTCCACAAGATATTTGCATTTATTGTTAAAAACTAAGTGCTGTGATGAAGTTTTAGATGTGAAAACTGGGTTTCAGGAAATGTGGACTAATTGGAAGAGGTGGCCACTGACCCTGTGCCCTGACAGACGGATGGTTAAGATGAAATCTAAAGAAGAATGGATGGTAACGGGCTAAGGGGAGACCATTGCAAGCATATTTGTATAAACATGTTTTCTTGAGCAGGGTGGGTATATGGGGTGGAGGGTGGTAGAGGAGCGGTCCTTGTCTTTAATCCCAGCATTCTGGAGGCAGGGTGGGTGGATCTCTGTGGCCTCAAGGCCAACGCGGTCTACAGAGCAAGTTCCAGGACAGCCAGGGCTGCACACGGAGAAATCATGTCTTAAACCCCCTATTAGGGTAAAGTTCGAGCGGAACCTTAGCAGATTCCATGACAGGCGAGGGTGACTGAGGATGGGGACAATCATGCCAGGCAGACGGAGCTTAGTGAGAAGTTTTATTAGAAAGGGGAAGCCGGGGAAGGAAAGAGAAAAGAGGTAAAGAGACAGAGAGAGGACAGAGGAGAAGAAGGAGACAGGAGAAGTCCTGTCTGCCCCAGGGGAACAGTGGGAAAGAGAGAGAGGGAAAGGAGAGCGGAGCTCTGTCTTTTAAAGGGGTCCTTTGCACCTAGGTTCAAACTAGTAGTCATGGAACCCTGAGCTGACCAGGGTACTGCCTGAGTACATTCTGTCAAGTGACAGGGACAGGCCAGCATAATGCCTGAATCTTTATACCACCCCCCCCACAAAATATGTCTATGGGTGTTTTGCTTACGTGTGTGTGTGTGTGTGCGCGCGCGCATGCTCCTGGTGCGTGTGAAGGCCAGAAGAGGGTGTTTCACGTCCTAGGACATAGATGATTGTGAGCTACCCTGTGGGTACTGAATATCAAACCCAGATCCTGTGTTAAAACAGCCAGTGTTCTTAACCTCTGAGCCATCTCTTCAGCCCCTTTAATGGCATATTTTGAAAATTTAGGAGCGGGAGAAACTCATGAGGAAATGAAAGATCAGTTTATTTTGTGAAATGAATGTGGTATCAAATGCAATAAAATGGAAAATATTTTATACACAAACTTTTATGTGTTCAAACATATTAGGAATGTATGCTGTATATCAGTACACAGCTGGTTGGAAGGGGTTGCTGGGACAGTGAACAAGCCAGGATGTAGGTTCATAAGTATATGAAACTCCTAAAGAGTAAACAAAGATGTTATTAAAACATTAGTTATTTGGGGGATGAAGAGATGGCTCAGCGCTGCTCTTCCAGAAAACCAGGGTTCAATTCCTAGCACCCACATGGCGGCTCACAACTGTCTGTAGCTCCAGTTCCAGGGCATCTGGCATCCTTAGACACACATACATGCAGGTAAAATACCTGCATGCACATAAAATAAAATAGTTATTAAAATATTAGTTATTTAAAGTGAAGAAAGATGTGGTGGAAGTTGTTGCTGAGAAAGACTAACCTTCGCAGGGTCACACGTGTAGTAAGTGGGCTCGGATTCTTTATGAGTGGGTTAGTATTGGAGCATGCTTAAACTTTCTTAAGTTTCTTCTTTAGTTTTAGTCCTTTACATACTGACCTGAGTGTTCATGTTCCTGAGGTTAGAGACCCAAAGGATTGCTTTATTAAACTTCCACTGTGGCTGGCTGGCTGGTGGTGGTGGTGGTGGTGGCGGCAGCGGCACACCTTTAATCCTAGCACGCCTTTAATCTGGGAGGCAGAGGCAGGTGGATCTCTGAGTTCGAGGCCAGCCTGGTCTACAGACAGCCAGGGTTACACAGAGAAACCCTGTCTCTGAAAAAAAAAACAAAACAAAAACCAACCAACCAAAAAACTTCCACTGAAATTTCCTGGCTTCTGTGCAATTGAAATGTATACCTCAAGCATTCTAGCAATGTGGTTTATTTATAGAATTGTCTTCTGGTTCAAATGCATTGGGCCTGCTTTTTGGTGCTGGATTTTCTCTCAAAAGTTGTTTATTTCTAACCCATTTTAGTTTCCTGTTGCTTTATGGATTGATATTATGACTCACAACAGGAACTCCAGGAAATCTGTCATATACGCTGCAGCCAGATTGAGACTGTCAAATGAAAAAAAACAAAACAAAACCCAAACTAGACATTATTATACAACCATATTTGGATATAAATGTGAGTTGAGCATTGGCTATATTAGGTAGAAACTTAGACTTAGAAATGTCACTCAGAGCCAAACTTTTGTGAACAGTTCTTAAGTAGTATTAGACTGTTAGTTCCATATCTTGGGCAGTGACTTAATCTTTCTGAGCCTCAGTTACAACATCTACAAAATGGGGCTATAGTGCTTTGTGAGCAGCATTATTGACAAGAGTAAATGAACTAATATGAGTAAAGCATGAGTAAAGCAAACAGGCCAGGTCTGCGTTTGTGTAGACTCCACAAGCTGCCTGCTGGTACCCAGCATAACTTGTTAAAAATTCCATCAGGAGAAGTTGTTTGCCTTTGCTTTTCCTTTCCTTTCCTTTTTTTTTTTTTGTGTGTGTGTGTGTTTTTAAAGACGGGGTCTTATTTAGCTTAAGCTAGCCTCTAGTGTGCTGTGTAACTGAGGATGACCTTGAACTCATACTCCTCTTGTGTACACCTCCTAACTGCTATGATTGCAGACATGCCTCACCACAAGTGTCATTATATGCTGCTCTGTTTCTTTTCATTAAAAAGAACTAGTGATAGCGACAATGGTCAGTAATTGATGTGGGGTGCCCTCTCTATGCTGTGAATATGTCTTATTGCCATTGGTGAATAAAGAAGCAAAACCCCAAAATGGATTATGGATGTTTGTCTTTGTTTAGGGGATTTGGTTATAAATTGTTATTGGTCATAGTCAACCTCTTTCTAAAGAGAAAAGGGAGTATACTATAGGAATGATTGGGAAAGGGGATGATGATGATGCTTATTTTGTTTTTTGAGAGAGGTTTTTTTTCTGTGTAGCTTTGGAGCTTGTCCTAGAACTTGCTTTATAGACCAGGCTGGCCCTGAACTCTCGTAGATCCACCTGTCTCTGCCTCCCAAGTGCTGGGATTAAAGGCGTGAGCCACCACCGCCTGGCCAGGGTAGATTATTATGATGGGAAAAAAAGGTAGATTATGAAATCTACTTTAATCCAGAAACAAAAAAACAGCTGTTAATTTTACATATTTTACATTGGTATAGATTTTAGTTTATTGATACAGATTTAAAGTTAACTTTGTTATATTGTATATATATTTCTATTCTTGTTTAAGGCATTGTTTTATACCTCAATTAAAAATGTAATATATAATTAAAATACAGATCAATAGTCATCTAATAGTCAGAATTATAGTCATGTTAGTTAGGTTTTCTAGGTATAAGAAATATATTTTAGATAGGCAATCTTAAAACACTTCAAAGACCTACAGAATATAGCATTTAAATGTTTTAAAAACTTAGACTTTTCTCAATAATGAGTCATGTCTGCTTCTGGCAGCACCAATCTACTTCAAAGAAGATGATGGGCACCAAAGAAAACTCCATATGGAGTTTACTTTCTTTGTGGTAAAAGTTAGCCACTGAGCCAAAAAGATGCCCTCACCTCAGCTGTCGACAGTGGGTCAAGAGGGACAAGCTGGACACAAAAGAAAGGACTGCCGAACTTTGCCAAGACAAGTTAGGGCAGCCCCTCAAAAAATCCTGCTTCACAGATAAGTGTCAGATACGGTAGACCTACTGTAGGCTGAAGATGGATGCCCCAGTGTTAGGGGAACTTTGGGGAACTGTCCAGGCAGTCTGATGTCCCTGTCATTAGGTAACATTTCACCCTTCTGGGGTCTTTGATATAGTTGGAAGACTAGATAGTTACAGTTTTCTTTAATTGTGACGAAAGATAAATTAGATACAACACTTTAGACTCACAAAGATAAGATAGATGATAGAGTACCTAATTTTGCCAAATACAAATAGACTAAGTATTATAACTATAATTCTTGCTTGATACCTGTTTTGTTATATGTAATTTTACAGTGTTAAAACCTTTATTTTTAATTAGACAGAAAAGGGGAGATGATGTGGAATGCACTTCTGTAAGTTGTTTTATTACCATTAGTTAATAAAGAAGCTGTCTTGGCTAATGGCTAGGCAAAATAGAGCCAGGCAAGAAATCCAAGCAGATATGGAGAGAAGAAAGGAAGAGTTGGGGAGATGCCATATAGCCTCTGTAGAAGTAATATACCAGGACATTGCCAGGAAACCACAGCTATGTGGTGATAGACAGATTAATAAAACTTAATTAATTTAATTGTGAGAAGTAGTCAGTAATATGCCTCAGCCATTGGCTGAATAGTCATAGTTAATATTAAGCCTGTGAGTATTTATTTGGGAACTGGCAGCCATGAGAGAAACCTCCATTTACAAATAATAGTCACAGGTCTTAAGCAGTTAGTGTGTACCAGGTACCATGCTGGATGTTTTATATGTATTTCATTTATTATTATTATTATTATTATTATTATTATTATTATTATTATCTTTTTTTTTTTTTGAGACAGGGTTTCTCTGTATTGCTTTGGAGCCTGTCCTGGAACTTGCTTTGTAGATCAGGCTGGCTTCGAACTCACAGAGATCTGCCTGCCTGCCTCTGCCTGGGATTAAAGGTGTGTGACACCAACACCCAGCTATGTAGTTTGTTTTTAAATGAGGCTTATCTTTCTCATTAATAAGGAAAAGGTGAATTACCCCTGGCAGATATTTGCATCCATATCAGACTCCATCTAGGCCATTTTACACAGCAGTCCTGATGTATGTGCAAGTATCCTTACCTCTAGCATGGAAGTCCTTGAAATGAAAACTGATAGCAATCAATAAGTATTATTTTTTTGTATCCCTATTATCTATCTAGTAGTCACCATGCCAAGTGTTTTACCTGCCTATTTTTACTGGTTTACTTCACGATTCACAGATGGAAGAAATAAGTACCAGTTCCATTTTACAGAAGAGAAGATGGAGATACAGTAATTCTTATTTAGTCATTGGTGGAGCTGGGATTGGATTTTATGCCTTTGGGCTGCAGAATACCTGCTCTTGTTTATTCTGTTATGCTGTAGCATCATTTTAGCAGTTTTTTTTAATGATTTTGATATGATTTTCAAAGATAGTTTTCCCAGACACTTGATACTAATTGTTCTTAATTTTTAGATAAGTAATAACCAGATTCTTGGTAGCAGCTCTTTAGTGTGATGTTTGTTGACCAGGACTGTGTTCTGTCAGAGGAAGCAATAGCATCCTTGTATGGTCAAAGACCTCAGAAGTGCGTATAACTTGTGTTAACTCAATGGATGTTGGCATTTCCTAGTTTTCAACCGTGAAAGACCTCAAACCTCAATCATGCTTCAGTCTCAAATTAAAGTGCATTCTAATTGGTAATCAGTGCATAAGGAACCAAAGAAAATTTTAATTAAATGCTGCTGTGTAAAATTTCTAGTCATTTTATGCCTATTAAAATGTTTTTCTTACTTAAAACCCCCTTGTAGCACTCTGCCCTTCCTCTTTAAACTTTATCAAGATTTTGTGCTTTTGCTCATATAAGGGCTTAATTAGCATCATCACAGATTTAGGCTGCTGCACATTTGCTTAACAGGCATTTAGATGCACTGAAAGAACTCTGCAGATTGGGTGGGTCCCTTAAGGGGACCCTTAGGTCTCTGAGCCTCAGTTTCTTCACTGTGTGAAATGAGGATAATAGTTCTTCCTGAGGCTGTTTGTTGGGAGGTGGCTTAAAGATAATGTATGTAAAGTGCCCAGTTCATGACTCAGGCAGAGGAATTGCTTGGTGGTTGATATGCATTAGTTTCGGAAGTTGCTGTGGTTTTTCTTTTGCTGAGAGCTTTTGTCTTATTCTTCTTAGTGGCTGTTCCTGGCTTCTCTCACATCATGGCCTTAGGAGTAAGGTGCCTCCGCCTGCTGCACCCTGCCCTCTGCACTTACCGTGCTACTTTGACCAGACCTGTCTCAGAAATTTCCATGAAGCCCGTTGGTGGACGACGACATGACCACAGGCAATACTTAGCCTACCCAGTCGTGCCAGTTCGCCAGTTTGCAACCAAGAAAGCCAAAGGTAGGTGAGTTCCTTCCCCTCTCAGTCCTTTCTTACATTTGCGGAGACCTCAGAGATGTATGGAGCCCTTCCTGATTCTCAGACGTTCACACACCACTGTGTTGGAACCTAGAGCTTGTTTTATTATCATTATACCTCATTTGTTTTCTTGGCGGCACAGAAAATGCCTACATTATTTGATTTAGATGCAGAACTAGAGGTAAAAGTATCAAGCCTATTGGAGTGCTTGTGGCAGGGATCAACATATACTCGTTCTTTAGGAAGATTCAGATTGGGGGTATAATTAAAGCCAGAAGGGTTTTGGGTGACAGGGCATTAAAGCCACGGGCTTAGATGGATGATCTTAATGACTTATGTCATCCAAGAATGAGATTTTGATGTACCGCAGGTCTTAGCTTAAATGCCACTTCCTCTGGGATGCCTTCTTTGGCCTGAGACTGGGTCAGGTCCTCTGTTACATGCACTGATGTACACTGTTATTTTACTTTTGACACACTTAGAACTGCAGTAATTAATTAATCAGTTGTAAAGTCGATTATTGTTTGTTAGCCGCCTGCCATATTGATCTGATGAAGATCAGTTTCTTTCTTTGTTGTTAAGCACTCTCCAGGGCTGTATATATACTGTGTATTTTCAGAAACTTTGTTGGATGAATGGATGACAGAGGCCTGCTGTTTGCAGTGGGTCAGGTGATCTACCGTCAAGGATAGTGCTAGAATGTGCTGTTGAGTATTTACCCTTGTACCTTCCTCTTCTGCTTTTTCACAGATCTGCTTTTGTTGAAAGGAGAAATAACATGTTGCTAAAAGAAAATTAATGCTTAGAAGATTTACCTTGTTAAGTTAATGTTTGATTTGTATGTTATTTTTAAAATTTTCTAGTCCAATTCTTACCATTATCCATTAAAAACAATTATAATTTTCCAGTGAAGAAACCCTTACAGTTATCTAATGAATACAGATTTTAACATGTTGCAAATACAGAAGCCAGGGTATATACTGTAGAAAAAAAAATTGCCCATGGCCTCCTCCAGGTCGAGGAAGAACAGGAAACCTGGGGGGTTCTGCTCAGTATGGCCTGCAGGCAGTGTCTTTATTTGTTTTCATTCTCTTGGATTCCTTGGAGTCCTTCTGCAATAGGGATACTATGCTGTATTGTTTGTGCTACAGGGGGTTATGTCTGTGAACGTGGTCGTTTTCAGTTCTTTTCTTTGTGCTTCGTATCTTTTTCAAGGACTCTTTTCTATCCCAAAGTAATTTCTTTCTTTCTTTCTTTCTTTCTTTTTTTTTTTTTTTTTTTTTTTTTTTTTTGGTTTTACGAGACAGGGTTTCTCTGTTTTGGAAGCTGTCGGTCCAGCCTGGCCTCGAACTCGCAGAGATCCGCCTGCCTCTGCCTCCCGAGTGCTGGGATTAAAGGCGTGCACCACCAACGCCCGGCTCCAAAGTAATTTATTTCTGAATGTTGTGTGAATTAATAATTTTAACTGTAAACCTGGCTGTGGTGGCTCACACCTGTAATCCCAGTGCTTGAGAGGCTGAGGCAGGAGGATTACTGACACTTGGAGGTGATCCTGGGCTATGTAGTGAATTCCAAGACACCCTAGTCTGCAAGGTGAGACTTTGTCTCAAAAAACAGACTAAAGCTCAGTTTAAGTTTCCTTTTCATATGAACTGTAAGCTGTGTTGACAGCTCTTTGTCATTCAGTTGGTGCTAACCCCTGTGTGTACTCACACCTCCTTACAACCCCTGTGTGTACTCACACCTCCTTACAACCCCTGTGTGTACTCACACCTCCTTACAACCCCTGTGTGAGTCACACCTCCTTACAACCCCTGTGTGTGCTCACACCTCCTTACAACCCCTGTGTGTGCTCACACCTCCTTACAACCCCTGTGTGTACTCACACCTCCTTACAACCCCTGTGTGAGTCACACCTCCTTACAACCCCTGTGTGTGCTCACACCTCCTTACAACCCCTGTGTGTACTCACACCTCCTTACAACCCCTGTGTGAGTCACACCTCCTTACAACCCCTGTGTGTGCTCACACCTCCTTACAACCCCTGTGTGTGCTCACACCTCCTTACAACCCCTGTGTGTACTCACACCTCCTTACAACCCCTGTGTGAGTCACACCTCCTTACAACCCCTGTGTGTGCTCACACCTCCTTACAACCCCTGTGTGTACTCACACCTCCTTACAACCCCTGTGTGAGTCACACCTCCTTACAACCCCTGTGTGTACTCACACCTCCTTACAACCCCTGTGTGTACTCACACCTCCTTACAACCCCTGTGTGTGCTCACACCTCCTTACAACCCCTGTGTGAGTCACACCTCCTTACAACCCCTGTGTGTGTCACACCTCCTTACAACCCCTGTGTGTGAGTCACACCTCCTTACAACCCCTGTGTGTGAGTCACACCTCCTTACAACCCCTGAGTGTGCTCACACCTCCTTACAACCCCTGTGTGTACTCACACTCCTTACAACCCCTGTGTGTACTCACACCTCCTTACAACCCCTGTGTGTACTCACACCTCCTTACAACCCCTGTGTGTGCTCACACCTCCTTACAACCCCTGTGTGTGCTCACACCTCCTTACAACCCCTGTGTGTGAGTCACACCTCCTTACAACCCCTGTGTGAGTCACACCTGCTTACAGCCCCTGTGTGTGCTCACACCTCCTTACAACCCCTGTGGGTACGTCACACCTCCTTATCAACCCTTGTGTTGTACGTCACACCTCCTTACTAGTTTTGTTGAACTGCTGTTTCCGAAGTTGCCCTTACTTCCAGAATCAGTCATAAAGTCTTGTGTGCACTGCTGCAAATTTTTACCTTTTAATGTTATAATCATAATTTATTTTGAGGTATATTAGATACAGAAAGTATATACCTACATTGTTAAGTGGTTGGCTCAGTGGAGTTTTAGAAAGTGCATACAATCATGTATCTATCTCCCAGATCAAAAAATAAAATGTATGGGGCTGGAGGCATGGCTTAGCTGTTAAGAGCACTGGTTGCTTTTCCAGACGTCTGGGATTTGATCTCCAGCAACCACATGGTGACTCGTAACTGTCTGTAACTACAATTCCAGTGGACTCAAGACCCTCATCTGGTTTCCCTGGGCACTAGGCCCACATGTGGTGTACAGACATAGATGTAGGTAGACACTTACACACATAAAATACTAAAAATAAAATTCAAAGACATAAAATGTAACATGTCATGGTGTCATTTGGGAGTCAAAGGCAGGAGGTTCACTGCAGGTTTAAGGCTGTAATAAATTCTACTCCAACCATACTTACATATTAATACACTGTTTCAAAATAGCAATCACAAAATAACAAGCAAATAAAAACAGAAACAAAAAGAAAGTAAAAGAAGAATACTGTATATTCTAGAAGCTTCCCAGGAGTCAGCCTTAACACCATAGATTAGTTTAATCCTTTTTGAACTCTATTTCTGGCTTTGTGAGATATTTATGTGTTGTACCTGCAACAGTTGCTGTGTGCTTTGATTTTTAAATAGTGTCTCAAATGTGCTGCTACTGCAGTTTGTGTCTATCCTGTGGTAGCATCTGGGTCACTTGCAGTTTGGAGCTACAATAACAGTATCATTATAATGTAAACATTCTTGTACTTGTGTTTTGGTGCATATGTATGCACATTCATTCCCATTCCTCCTCTTCTCCTTTCCATGGCACTGCCTAGGACTCTGGTCTAATTTGAGTATGATTGGTGAAAATGAGCATCCACTTCTCATATGTTGATGTAAAGAATGTTTCCTTTATCTTTTTCATAGTATCTTTTAAGTAAATATATCTAATCCTTGAGCTTTTTAGAAAGGCACTAGCGTCTAATCAAATGATAGACTGTGTTTATTGAGGCGATTCTACCTCCTCCTCTAATTTTGCAGTTCAGGGCCTGGCATGTGCTAAGCATGGTCTATACTCTGTGCAGATCCTCAGTACTCCCTGCCTTTAATCTATTAGCAGAATAACTCAAATCAGTAGCTTTTCTGGGATCAAATCATTTTTGCATTTTTGATAAGAGCCCTGCTTGTTTTGGTAATTTGTGTGTATCTTGCTTGATAAATAATCTGTGTATTCACTGCTAGATTTATCAAGCTTGTATATAGGATTAAGTATTACTCTCTTTAGTCTGTGTTTGCATGATGGGGTTCAGGGGAGGGAACAGGAGGAGAGAAAGGAGAGGAAACTATGGTCAGTATGTAAAATAAGTGAAAAAATGCTAATTAAATAAAAAAATTAGACTGGATGTAATTCCACATACTGAAGGACTTAACTCTTTTTGCTGCCCTTATTAGGTCTTGCTGTAGTTTATATTAGATGAGTGCATATCTCTTATAATAGGATGTAATAGTTAAAGGGCTACACAGATAGACCCTGTCTCAAAAACAAAACAAAAGATTAAAATTTTTACTGGTTTAGTACTCTTACATGTTCTCTTTCATCTTTCATATCATCATCATTTTTTCAAGACGTTTATCAGTGTTGCAAGCTTTAAAAGTTCTTTTTCTTTTTTGTTTGTCTGTTTTTCTGGTTAGCCCTGGCTGTCCTGGAGCTCACGCTTTAGACCAGGCTGGTTTTGAACTCACAGAAATCCGCCTGCCTCTTCTTCCTGAGTGCTGGGATTAAAGACATGTGCCACCTTTGCCTGGCTAAAAAAGTCTTTTAATGTTATGAGTCTCTTATTTTGTTGATAATAATATTTATTGTGTTTTCTTATTCTTTTTTGAAACAAGGTCTCAACTTGTAGCTCTGGCCAGCCTGGAATGTGCTGCTTAGGTCAGGCTGGCCTTGAATTCACAGATGTCATGGCTTCCTGAGTGATAGGATTACAAGTAGCTTGTACTTAAGATCACATTTCCATTTACTTAACTTTTTATTTGCTTTGCTCATCAGTTACCAAAAAAGATGTGTTAAAAATCTCCTGGTATGATTGTAGATTGAACAGTTTCCCTTCTCTGATTTTGAAGTTACTTTATGGATATATATATTTAAACCCAGAATTGTTATATATATTCTGATATTATTTTGAAGTAGCCCTGATTTCTAATAATGCATTGTCTTAAAATGTTTTACTTGCTATTAATAAAACTGACTTTATTTTCATTAATATTTTTCAGGTTTATAAAGTTTTCCCTATCCATTTACCCTGTGATTTCATATTTTTATAAATTTTCTTGTATATTTTATGTGATTAAGTTAAAGTTTTACTGAGAACCTTGAACTTTTAGCTAGTCATTTTGGTTCATTCCTGTTTATCTTATTTGTTGAGTATTTACATTTTAATTTTGTTCTGTACTTTTTTGTGGCTTTCTTAGCTTTTTCTTCCTTTCTATTAAGTTAATCGGGTTTCTTTATTCTGTTTTCATCTCTGCTGATTTGTAAGCTCTGTGTGTGTATACCATCTGTCTTTACTTAGATAGTTAGTTACCCTTAACTTTTTTTTAACCTTTTTCATAGAAATAAACTACAACTTGCTAATTTTTACAAACTGAAATCACCAGTAGTAATTAACTGTACCCGTCAATCAAGAACTGGTGTGTGTGTATGGGGCATGCCTGTACTCTTAGCCCTCAGGAGGCTGAAGCAGACAGACAGACAGACAGACATAGCTGAGGATGCAGATCAGTGGTGGGACACTCAGGTCCTGGCTTTTCACCCACGTCTAGAGTGTGCCACCCTCTCCCTGTGCCCCTTAACAGGTAATTATTATTCAGATGTCTGGTGGCATGGGCTAGTTTTATCTATTATACTGTTCTAATATGTGGCTTTTTAATTTTTACCGTAGTATGTATTTTTGTGTTTTGCCTCTTTGTTCAACAGTAATTTTGGTACCTTATGGATAAATCGGTGTTTTCTTTCCAGCTTTTAAAATATTCTGTATGTTTTTGGTTTTCTTTACTTACACTCTGCCAAGACCTGGATTTGCTTCTGATGTCCTGCTCGTAATGGATTTTTCTGAGTTGACATCTTTTATTAGTTTCAAACATTCTAAGCCCTTAGCTTGGTTGCTCAGAAGCAGTGGGGGCTTCAAGCACAATGGCGACTTGAACAAACCTTTGAGAAAACTTTCTTTGCTTCTTGTTTGTTGGTTACTTTGGGCAAAATATTTAAATGGCCTGCACCTGAAGTTCTCATTTTCTTTCCTCAGAATTATCTTGAATATCAAATGGGACAGCATATTTGAAATTGCTTTGCAAATGAGGATGTGAATCACAGATAGTGTAGAGTCAAGCCAGCCATAGTTAATAAAAATTGCCGAATGGATTTTAATAATATTTTCTTAAACATTTAGTGAATAATCTTCATTACTCAGATACTATTTATTTCCATCTTTTTTCTTCTTTCCCACCCCCATGTAGAAATATAAGAGTATTTGTGTCACATGTACATTTTAGAATGTATGTGAAAAAACCCTGATGGTTTAAACATGAAATCAGATTCCATCTATCCTCCAGCACTGTTGGTTTTCTAAAACACAAGCAAGTGTGCTCTGACAGATAGGATTTAATATCTCTACATTTCTTTTTGTCTTGGTCGGCCATACAATGCCAAGCATAACTTCATCTTAGTGTGCATTTGAAGCTGAGTTAATATATTTCATTTCTCTCCATTAGATTTGTGGAGATTGTCTTATGGAAAGTTCATGGGCTTAAAATTAGACAGATGTGGGACCAAATATTGACTTGACCATTTCCTGACCTGTGACATTAGGCAAGTCACTTTACCTTTCTTGTCTTCCATTTTTCTGAAAAATAAGGTATTAATTTACTTCTGGATTCCCTGGTATATGTAGAGTACTCTTTTGGGTGTGTGACTTCCTTTGTATTCCTGTAGCAGCCTTATAACACAGATTGTATTAGTCCTCTTTTACAAGTAGACTTGCCCGAGGCCATAAAGCCAGTGTGCACCCGAGCAGGTGTAACCCGAGTGTCTGATATAAGGCCTTTGCTAATGGCTAAGGCTTCAGCACAGACCTGGGAGCTGGCTGACACTCTATAGATGTGAGCTCTTGTGGAGGGCAGAGATGCTTTTATTAATCTCTAGCACTTAACAGTTTGCCCTGTACGCAGTAGCACTTTTTAAAAACGCCAATGCTTATTATTCCTGTGTATGCTTCTATTCTTCTGTTCACTGAGTGTTCACTTTTTAGCTAAAGGGAAAGGACAGCCCCAGGCCAGAGTGAACATTAACACAGCCTTGGTTGAGGATATAATCAGCTTGGAAGAGGTGGGTGAAGAAATGAGATCTGTGATGGACGCCCTCAAGGATAATTTCAATAAGACTCTCAACATAAGGACTGCACCAGGTCAGTGGCTAAACCAATGTTCTAGGGAGTGTTCCAGCGGGAAAGACCGTGGGCCTGTGACCCTGTCAGTCCCTGCTTTGGCGTGACTAACTGGTGTTTATGAGCAGTTACTTTTCTGTAACTAGGAGTTTCCTTGTCCACGTCTTGCTGTTTGGCTTAGGGGCTGTAGACTGTGGATGGTTCTGGAACAGTGCTGCCTGTGTCCATTCCGCACCTGTCCTGTGGAGTAGCATTGTGTTAGGCCATAGAAGTAGTGTAGCAGTGAGCGAGGTCTGTCATGATCAGGGCCTTTGGAATTACACTCTCAAAAAGCAGTATTCTTGTTGGTCCTTAGTCCGCATTTTCTACTTTGTCCTATTTGGCAGTTCTTATCCTGCACTGAAGGCCAAATTCTGCAGACTTGCCCACCTGAGGCCTTTCTGTGCCCGTGAGCTTGACCAGGAAGATTCCGTTTAGGTTAATAGCTTCCTGAAAGTGGCTTTTCTAAGTGGGAAATGTCAGAGCTGTCTGGGAGAACTGTTTGCAGATGTGATGGAGAAGTGGGTTGTCGGCTAATGGTACAAGCAGGCAGGAAAAATACAATTGCAGTTAAATTGGCCTTTTGCAAATTGTCATCATCCTATAGTTAAGCCTGGGACCCCCTGTGACGGTATGTGCAGGAGCTTTGGCCTTTCCTACTCGTGCTTTCACTGGGGAGGTTTGTAAGAAAAATAGAAGGTATTTCGTGAACTTGCTTGTGAAAAGTACTCACTTCATTATAAAAGTGATCAGAGCCATGTTGAGTTCAGAGATGCGATCTGGCGTGAGACTAGAAGGAGTTCCTGGCATTTGTTAACCTTTGTGCTGGAGTGTTTCTGCCTTTGCTGACAGTAAAGCGTGCCATTCAATCGTTCCCAACTGTTTACGTTAAGCTTGCTTATTATTTTAGGTATGAAACTGATAAAGTGCTCTGTCTCCCCTGTGCTTTCTGCCTGTTAACATTCTGCAGCCGAAACCAGAGAGCAGCTTGAGAGAAGCCCGGGGAGAAATGTGATACTTAGAATGAGCCGGCTAGTTCCACTCTTGTTGAACTTAAGAAGACGATGGGTTTGGAAAGAGGGTGGAAGTGTAATTTGTTAACTGTTAACCTCTGAGAAAGTGAGGGGCAGGGGTGAACTTGAGGGAGATTTCCACTGGGGACAGATTGAGGGGAGAGGGTTTGATGCCTTGTGTCCATAAGGATTGAGGGATAGGAGCCACCACAGCTGCGTGCTAAGATGCCCATTTGGGGACCTCTGTGGCAGAGTTTCTTCCAGCTAGTCAGGGAGGCTGGACTAAGATCCATCCTCAGCAGACTTCCCCCTGGAATCTCCTCTTTCCCTCTTTTCTTTGGGTTAAGTTTGTGTAATGGTCTGTGTAGAATTTGAGGCTGTGAAGAAACTGGGTAAAATAAGCTATACTGGCCTGTGCTCTCTGCTAGACAGGCTCTTCCCTGTCATCTCTCACTGCTACCTGGACCAGCCACACATTTTCTCTTTGCTTCCTCCTGCTGTCTGTCTCAGAGACAGCTGGCTTCTGTCTGCACTCGTCGAGGTGCAGGCTTCCCCTTTGTCCTTCATGCCTCGTTCCTTTGCTTGCCACAGTGGTCCTGCGCACTCTGTGCACATGGAGAGGGAAGGTCTGGTTCCTAATGTTCAGGAACTTAGGACCTCGTCTGAAAGGGCAGACAAGTAAACCACTGTGTATAAAACCATGCAACAGCAGAACGGTGAAGACACAGCTTTGGAGATGGCCATGCCTGGACTTGGATTTAAGTTCTATTATTAAGAGCTATTGTGATATTAGGCAAATCATTCTGTTTACCTCAGTCTCCTCATCTGTAAAATGGCAACAGTAGTAATCATCTTAAGATAACGAAAGCAACTAATATTAAAAGTATTAGTGCAGGATCTTTGCTTATGAGACATATTCAGTCACTTAAGGCTGCCATCATTGTTGTTGAAACATGCTTAGGATACTTGAGGGCTCGTAAGAAGGGCCTGTAATATAGCAGAGGAGTCAGGCAAGCCTCCTGACATTAGACACCACTACATCGAGAATTTGAAGAAGGAGCAAGCATTACCCCAGTAAAGAAGTGTATTCCCAGTGAGGGATGCTTTCTCAATTTGGACACTTTGCCCTTCCCAGAGCAAAATGACAGTCTCTAGAGATCTCCCCATGGAGGGCCTTACCCTCCCTGGGGAATGGAGTGGGGATTGGGTGGGGGGCTGGAGGGGTTGGGGGGAGGGAGTGGGCGTGAAGGAAAGGGAGAGGGAGACGGAGCTGGGACTGACATGGGAAGCAAGCTTGTTTCTAATTTAAATATAAGTATAAAAAAAGAAGTCTATTCCTACTGTGTGATTACTTGCATAGTGAGTCTCAGGCCTGTCAAAGCTACACAGTGAGACCTGTTTAAAAAGAACAAAAATGCATTGAGAAAAAAGTTATATACTAGAATTTTGTAGCAATCATCCTACCTGGATACTAGGGTTATGAGAATGAATCAATTGACCCAGCTCCAGATATATTTATTCAAGAGAAAAATTATAAATGAATCTAAAATACTATGAAGCTTGATCTATTGATATATGGAAGCGTGAAACTAAAATTTTAAGTATTTAGAGTTAATTTTTTGTTGTTGCTGTTGTTTGTTTTTTGTGATTATAGTTAATTTTAAAAGATAAGAAAACTTTAGAAAATTTATGAAGTGATTCAGTCAACTAATTTATGTCAGTCAGTGCTGAGTTTGTAGATCACTTGGGTGATGTGGTCATTTAAAAATTATTAGCCAGCCAGTGAACATGGTAGATAGTTCCAGTTTTGTCTTTCAAGTCCTTTGACTATTGATCTATAATTCTTTTCTTTTTCTTTCTTTCTTTCTTTCTTTCTTTCTTTCTTTCTTTCTTTCTTTCTTTCTTTCTTTCTTTTTAGTACAGGGCTTCTCAGTGTAGCTCTGGCTGTCCTAGAACTCATGCTGTAGACCAGTCTGCCTTGAACTCACAGAGATCTGCATGTCTCTGCCTCCCAAGTGCTGGGTTTCCACCACAGCTTTCTAATTCTTAAAGTAGACATCTTTACTTTCTTAGTTAAGTTTATTCTTGTTTTTAAGCTATGGTGAATTAAATAACTTTTATAATTAAAATACAAAAATTCTAAAAATTAATAGCAGTACTGTTGGTTTGTGGCTATAAATGCTTTTCAATATACTTTTGAGTCTAATCCTATGAAAGCCCTTTATGCACAGTTTTTGTCTCATTTAAAAATCAGGAGGTAGCCACCCAGAAGGCCCTTAGAATTTGGAAGCAGTGAGTTGGTATTTGAATTCAGATATCTGACTTTTTATCATTATACTCCTATATTTTTGCCCATTAAAGCCGGTGGTGTTAACAGCTGTGTGTCACCATAGCTCTGAATCTGGTTGAGTACTTCAGATAAGATCTTTGGCCATAATGTGGTACTGCATTAACCCTACAGCCAGAATAGCTTCAGTTTCTTTGAAAGTTCCCTCACCCACCTCCCCAGCCCCGTTTCTCCTTGTGTCTCAGAACGAGGCATCCCTGAGTAGTTTCTGCTGTGAGTGTGAGGGTTCTCCAGTAGTTTCACTTGCATAGGAAACCAAGGACTTTGAAATTTTCCTATCCAGAGCTGTGGGTTTATTTATCTTCTTTGACATCTGAAAAAATTGCCCAGGATTTTACAGATTGCTGCCCTGCTTGAGTTCCTGTCCTAGTGATGATCTGTCTTGTGTCACTGGATAAGTTTTAAGCTTAGGCAAATCAAAATGGTTATTTACCCCAGTTCTAATAAGGAATTACAATGTGGTTTATTGCATACTCTATCCAGTGCCTGAAACTGCTCTGGTGAACAGCCTTGTCACATTGGTAAGGGACTCCTGTATGTTTGTGGAATCTGAATTACATAAACAGATATGAGCTTCTATGGTCTTTTGGAATTCTAAAACCTTACTGCTTTTTCTTTAGGATCCCTTGATCATATTACTGTGGTAACTGCTGATGGGAAGCTTGCTCTAAATCACATTGGCCAGATCTCCATGAAGTCACCACAGTTGATTTTGGTGAATATGGCCAGTTTCCCAGAGGTAAGGTGCCTTATTCAAAGGGTCTGTCTTCAGAGTTTCTTTTGGATAACAGAGGTTTGATCAGGTCAGAAGGAAATGTTCCCTTTAATTTGAGAAGAAATTTATTAAGAAAATAGAGGACAAGTAAAGTCTCTTGACTCTAAATTTTTTTAAATGATTTAGTTTTGTTTCATGTACATTGGTGTTTTGCCTGCATGTATGTCTATGACGGCATCAGATCTTCTGGAACTAGAGTTACTAACAGTTGTGAGCTGCCATGAGGGTGCTGGGAATTGAACCACTGAGCCATCTCTCCAGATCCATTTTTTACTGATTAAACTCAAGTCCAAATAAGAAATTTGAAAAACAATAATGATTGATTCTTGGGCTGGTGTCTTAGTTACTTATCTATTGCTATGACAAAACACCGTTACCAGGGTACTTATAAAAGCAAGCATTTGATTTGAGGCTCACAGATCTAGAGAGCTAGTCTATGACCATGATGGGGGGAACTTGGCAGCAGGTAGGCATGGATGTGGGACAGTGGGAAGAACTATTGAAACTTCAAAACTGACCCCCAGTGACACACCTCCTCCAGCAAGGTCACACCTCCTAATCCTTCCCAAACAGTTCCACCAAATGGAGATCAACCATATGTGACCCTTAGGGGTCATTCTCACTGAAACCACACACCTGGAAATCATGTGGCCTATCTGGGTACCTCTGCCCATTTCTTGCTGATAATTGCCAGGCAGAAATGTAGGCTTAGGTAATTAGTATTAACAGATGTTCCAGTTTTTATTTTCAAAAGAAACCAGTAATCCCAAATTTTGTACAAAGTATTTTTGTTGTCTAAATGTTTTGAACTAATTCACTTTTCTCTTTTTAAAATGTGGACATCCGTGAGAGCTAGTTTGTGTCTGTTATCTCAGATCTTGGGAGGTGGAGGCAGGAGAATCAAGAGTTCAAGGCTAATTTAGGCTACATGAAACTGCCTCAAAACAAACAAGAATCCTTGAGACAAATAAAACATGTTTATGGGCTAGATATGGCCTGAGGGCCACCATTTTGTGACTTCTGCATTATAATTCAGAGAAGAGCCTCCAGGAGTTCATCTTCCTTCAGACTAGACAGAATAATACAAGCAATGCCTGGTGTTAGAGACTGGAAGATGAGTTGCATTTAACCTTGAGGCTGTATGGTTTTTCCTGTAGTTGAGAAACCTAGAGAACTGAAATCCAGCCCTCTCTCTGCTCCACCTGGCAAGTTACTCCTCTCTGACCTCCATTTCCTTACCTTCCTGTTCAGGTCTCTGTCTCAGTCTTTTTGTTCATGGCAGGCTGTGTGTTGTATTTGACTGACAAGCTTAACAGTAGGAGCAGAACAAACCATTTCCAGTCAGAAGACTCCTGCGGCTGGTACTCGCGGTGCACTTCTAGACTTACTGTTGTTCAACCACTGCCCCTCTCCATTCTCCATCCTACAGTCACAGTGAGCGTTAATGTTTCAAGGAATATATTGGGTTGTGTCGTTCTCATGATCCAAATAATCTTTAATGACTGAAAGTCCAAAATCTTGACTGTGGACAAGATGGCTTTGGCTCATCTGGCCTCGGGCTGCTTCAGGTCTCTGCAGTCCTGAGGCACTGTCTTCCTGCTACAGTACTCTGTTCAGACTGTCCATAAACCATGTCATGACTTCTGTACCTCTGGGCCTGTGTCTTCCTGGGCTTGGAACATTTCTGGCTGACTATTTGCTACTCACGTTTTGATTTACAATGTAGATGCCACTTTTTCACTAAATTGTAAACTTGCAGGAGAAGAGTCATATATAACTTATTTCTTGTGTCCACATCAAATAGTGCTAGGCACGTGGGTTTGCTCCATACATTCTCCTTAAATTGGTGGATATGTGTTATTAGGTGTATGGGAGAGAAGCACTCATTAGTGATGTTACTGAGGAGTGTAGAAATGATGAAAAGTAACTGTCCCCCTCCGAACCCCCGAGGCCTCTCTGCCTTCTTCATCTAATCCCCCTGGCACTGTGGCCAGTTGAGGGACTAGCCTCCTAATCACACAGACCTCATCAGGCAGATTACTTTCCAGAACCATCCACTTCTGCTAGTGAAATAGAAAATGGTATTCACAGAAGTAGCACCTGATTGGCCACCAGAGCATCTCTTATGAGACAGGAGGAGATGTTAATTGCTTAAATCTTTCTTGGGAAGTTGGAATATATTTTCATCTTTCAACTAAAGTATCTTTGGCATTTCTCTGGTGTGCAGTTCCTTGGGTTTTGGGGAAAGCTTACCCAGTGTCTCAGCAGAGGGGCTCATGTATAGGCACAGTGAGGAAGTATGAGTTACACTGTCTTTGAATTTCTTTATCTCATCTGCTGTATACATTAAACAAACAGCTCTAAGTAAACATTTCCTTCCTTCAGCTTTAGAAGCTGCCCATAGAGTACTGAGGTTCGCAGCTTCAACATGCTGAGCTGACCCCTCCTGTGTTTATAGAACTTCTTTCTGTTTCGCATGCGGTCGGCTTTCTTCCCAGGCCTGAACAGTTTTGTGTCACGCTGTTGTGACATGATGCAGATTTACATGTATAATCTTTCAAATGCATTGAAGGCAAAAACTGTGTTGCATTTGTTTAGCATATGTTCTGCTTGATAAATAGTGCACACAGTCGCTCTCTTCCCTAAGCATGCCTGAAACTACAGTTAATGACGGGGAAAGAAGAGAAGGGAATAAAAACCATAGCATCATTTGAACAAAGCAAGTAACGAGTACAACAACAACATCACCCCAGCAGCTCTGTTATTTGTCTGTAGATGGAAGGGAACTGATGTGTACCAAATCTCTGCTGTGTTGGCAGTCCCTTTCTCATAGCTTCTTTCTCACCATCAATAGTGTTCCAGCAGCCATAACCAGTTGCTTAGTATTGAGAGCAAACAACCAGTCTGCCTTGCGATACTGGGGAGTGTCCCCCTCCAGTGGTGGAATAAAGGCTAAGGGAAGGAAATTGTATATGCATGTATGCCTTTTTTGTTTGACCCATGAATAGTTTAAACATACTGTTAGGGAAATGACTATAATTTCCTGAGGCCCGAGTCCTAGATAAATTAGAAGACTTACTTTCAATAAGTTTCTTTATGAGAATCTCAGTTAACAATTTTCCCTGAATATGAAGACATACAAAAACTAAAATAAGGTTTTGAGGTAAAGTCAGGAGACTTGAATGGGATTACTAACAGTATCCGTTCAGCAAGCTTTTGCTGTACGCTTGCCTAGTACTTCACTGGTGCTGTGCCTTCCACTGGGAAAGTGGAACTAGTGAGACACACTTCCTGCCTAGCTTGGTATCTGTAGTGAGTACTCTTATACCTACAGGGGAAGGTGGCATAGAACTATTTGGGTCAGACTACAAAGGAGCTTGATGGTGGTAGGGTGTGGTGGTTTCAATAGAAATGGCCCCTGTAGACGCATGTGTTTGAATGCTTGGTCCATAGGGAGTGGTACTATTAGGAGGTGTGGCCTTGTTGGAGTAAGTGTGGCCGATTGGACGAAGTGTGTCACCGTGGAAGTAAGCTTTGAGGTCTCACATGCTCAAGCTAGGCCTAGTGTGGCAAGTCTCCTCCTGCTACATGTGGATAAAGATGTAGAACTCTCAGTTCCTTCTCCAGCATCGTGTTTGCCTGCATGCTACCATGCTTCTCACCATGACAATAATGAAGTAAACCTCTGAAACTGTAAGCCATCCCCAAGTAATTGTTTTCCTTTATAAGAGTTGCTGTGGTCATGGTGTATCTTCACAGCAATAGAAACCCTAATTCAGACAGTGGGTGTTACAGCAGGGTTTTCTTGCTTATGTGCTGAGAAGCTCTTTAAAGTGAGGGTTCTCCCTTTACTCTTTTTTTTTTTTTTTTTTTTGAGACAGGGTTTCTCTGTATTGTTTTGGAGGCTGTCCTGGAACTCTCTCTGTAGACCAACCCGGCCTCTGCCTCCTAAGTGCTGGGATTAAAGGCATGCGCCACCACCGCCCGGTAAAAGGGCAACCTCCCTTTACTCTTAATTCTCTAATTGATTTTATTAAGGGTGGGTGTTCTCTGCAAAGAGGTATTTACTGTATTTCTTTATTTTTATTTATGTGTGTGAGTGTTTTGTCTGCTTATGTGTGCACCAGTGCATGCAGTACTCACAGGGCCAGAAGATGGAATTGGGTCTCCTGGAATTGGATTACAGGTGGTTGTGAGCTGCTGAGAACCAAACGTGGGTGCTCTGTAAAAGCAGCAAGTGCTCTTAATTGCTGAGCCATCTCTCCAGCTCCACTGTTACATGTATTGTTCCTAGTCATTTCCTTCTGTAATAACTACTGAATACATTGAGTTGAGGATCTGTAAAAAGAATATAGACAAAGTAACAGTGTTAAACCAAATGCAGCTAAGCCTCTCCTTACCCCGGAGGGTAACTGAAGTTCGATAGGTTGTCTCTTTAGTGCCTCTTTCTTGGGCTGTCAAGGAACACTGTCTATTCTAAGGGATGTAAATTTACCCTGTAGGCCCCTTGTTCATAATAAACAGTTGGGCCTTGATTATGTCAGAGATCCCTTCTTAACACTGGCAGTCTATGATCTGAGGCATCATTTTAAATATTTACTGTAAATACATATGATCTGCACACACTCAGGTTCTACACATCTGTGTGTGGATGTTCTGGTTTGCCTATGTTTTGATTTCATATAGGTGTAGAATTTGGGTGACTTAAAGATAGAGCGGGTAAGTTTTTAGATACCTCTGAAACAGTAGCAGTGGAATGCTTGGGAAGTAAAGTAGCTGTGTACCACCTTCCCATACCTTTCAGACATAAAGCTGGAGGAACTCAAGGACAGGACTTGGCCTTTGAGTTCAGGTAGCATGGATCAGCTCTGGAACATGTAGGACCCTTGTTCTTTTGAGTTCATAGTCTTCCACCTACTCCCTGTTGCCTTTAGGATCGATACATGGTGCAGTCAGTATAGTGTTCAATATGAGGTTGGGCATTAGGATATCTGTGCATTAGTGAGTGAGCCTGCAAGAGAAGTTCCTGAAGGATGTAGGAGGACTTTACACATTTTTAATCCATGGATATGGTTTGTTCATACAATAACTGCTTTTGGATGGATGTTAACTGTGTGCCTAACTGAGTTAGGTACATTGCTTACATTGTCTCATTGCTTTTGTGATGTTTAGGTACCACATCAACTCAGGTTATGGATGTTAAATTTACTGCTCGGGGGATGGTCCCAAAGCCGAATTTAAACTGAAGTTGACTCCAAGACCCATGCTTTTTTCCTGCCACTCTGCCTTTCCTGTGGTGCATGAGTGTCCATGGAGGTTTACTGCTCATTCCAAAGCATGAGTGAGTTTGCTGTGAGTGTAGATGCGAATGAGTTAAATTTATTTACTCATTCCAAACCGGCACTGCTATATTTTGAGTGTAAAATGTCAACTGGAATTTTTAACGTATGAAATCTTTCATCTGTCTTTACACCAATCTTTGCACAGACCAGCCCTCCTCCCTTGAGGATTTATTGTGGTTTTGATCTGTGTTGCCTCAAACCATTGAAATCTTTTCAAAGAAGCAGAGCTGTTTTCTTTTTCTTTTTTTTCTCTTTCTTTTTTCCTTCCGCAATATACTGGTACCGGGAGTGGACATGGCTTGCTATTCAGCTTGATCAAAGCACTCTACACCAGTGTAACTTCCTGATCTTACTGGTAACAGAACTAAATGTTTCCATGTTCTGCCAAGATGGGTTGCCAGTTATCGACAGAGGGCTTGCATCTGGTAATAATTATTTACTAATTCTGTTTACCTTTTGATCTGGTTTTCAGTGTACAGCTGCAGCTATCAAGGCTATAAGAGAAAGTGGAATGAATCTGAACCCAGAAGTGGAAGGGACACTAATTCGGGTACCTATTCCTAAGTAAGTTTGGCTTTAATCCATGTTTTTCAGTGACATGGGGTAGTTGTCTTTGGATGGAAACTAGTGCCTCTAGACAGTCCTGGGCCACTCGTGTGGCTCTCTTACCTGCGTCTTTCATTCTGGCTGTGCTGTGAGGTCAGCTTATGGACGCAGACTTGCTATCGGATGTCTGTGTGCGCTAGAAATGGGACTACAGCAGTCAGCTTGCAGAACACCTTGTCCTCACACCTGCCTGGGAAGTTAGGACAGGTTAGCGCACAGTCGCTACAGACCAAGGGAGTAAATTCTAGGAGGAAAGACAAGCCACCAGCATCAAGAGGGTGTGATTGACGGGTGTCATAGTGGGAGGGTTATTTAAGGAGTTAACATTTCTGTTGACAGCAGAGATGAGGTGGGAGCATCAGCTTGCAGGGAGCACTCTAAGAAGGATGAGTGGCAAGTACAAGGCCTCACTCAGAAAGCAATGGGACACCCATCAGCTCTCACTCTGTGCTCCCTGTTGGAATTGAAGAATTAAAGGTAGAAGTCTAGAGTAATGGGTTGGTTTTTTGTTTTGTTGCTTTGTTTTGTTTTTACTTCTTAATGAATTTTTGAGTGAGTAAGAATAGATCTTTGTCCCTGAATTTAAAAAGAGAAGATGGCTGATGAGATGGCCCAGTGGATAACATCCTGGCCCTTGAAGCCTGACAGGAGTTTGATTCTTAAAGCCCTCATACGGGCAGAGGGAGGGAACTGAATCTGCAGAGTTTTCCTGTGGCCTCCACATGTGGGCGGTAGCAGCATCTCCCGATAATAATAAGATAATAGCTGGGAAGCGGGTCAGGAGGATCAAAAGTTCAGAGCTAGCCTGGTCTACACAAAGGAAGCCTTCCTCAAAAGAAAGAAAGGGCAAGATGGTGGCATGCTTGAATAAAGGAAAAGCTGGTATGTCTGCAGCTGACGGAGAGAGCAGAGAGCGGGGCAGGGCTTCCCAGGCCATGGAGGAACTGGGATTCCTTCTAATGGTACCGAGAAGCCATTGGTTGAAGCAAAGGACTGATCTGACAGGGACTTTGTGAGTCTCTCTCATTGCTGATTAACGAGGTTTAGGAGACAAAGCAGACATAAAAAGAACAGTAAAGTTATGGCAGTCCAGGTGAGACACGAGCCATGGCTACCCAGCAGGAGAACTAAGCCCCCGTTCCTACACAGTGCCTCACACTGATCAGTGTGTTTGGCCAGTCAACAAATATTTATTAAATAGTAACTGTAGGTCAGGTTCTTTCCTGATTATTGGGATACCGCAGTAAGCAAACCAGCAAAGCTCCTTGCTCCGCTGGAGCTCCCCGAGAGCTGAGCAGACACAATAAACTCTGGGCGTAAAGAAAATTGGGGCTCTGTGGAAGCAAGATACAGGAAGGAAGGAAGGGATATCTAAAATGACATAAAGCAAATGGATGACATCTCCCAAATAACGAGAAGGAAATAGAGTGGCCAGGGGCCCTTCTGTGTCACCTGCCACCCTGGATTTCTTTGTAGAAATTGCTTTTAGTAATTTTTCCAATTAAGAAAGTTTAGGCTCTGAGAGGTAAACTAGTGCTGCCCAGGATTCTTGGTTACAAAGTGTCATGATAGCGTCAAGATTTTTTTTTTTCATGATAAAGTCTTGCTTCATAGCCAGGTATTTGAGATCATCCTGCCTCAGACTTCAGGGTGCAGTGAGTACAGTGTGTATCACCATACTCAGCTGTGCGAACCAGCCACAGCGCTGAGGAAAGAACTTCCTTGACTGAGGTTTTTCCTGCCATGTGGCCAGAAAATAGCTATGTTCTTGATACTAGATAAAACTGAATTAACACGCTGCTCTGAAGTCTTGTGAACTGGGCAGTATAACCTCGTGGTTAGTAGCCATACAGACTTGGGTTCATGATCAGTATATCTGCTAGGGAAGTATCTTCTGAGCATGCGTGTGTATACCAGGCTCTGCTGGGGACACACAGACCTTCATTTGTCAGGCTCCTTGTTCGCATTACCTCCAGCTTACGTGGGAAAACTACTGTGACCCACAGTTTATAGACAAAAAGCCCTGAAGCTCTGAGAAATAGATCGCCATGATCACATGACCAGTATTGGCAGGCAGAATTTGAGAATCATGAGTTTTAATTCTGGAAAGTGCTGAATGTCATTGTGAGTGTCAGAAGCAAGATTGACAAGTGGAGGGACAGTGAGGAGTGCTTACTGTCCTTCCGGAGGACCCAAGTCCAGTTCCTAGCACCTTCTCAGGAATCCTACACTGCCAGAAACCCTCCTCTCCCTCACTGAGTACCCACACACATTTGGCATATGACCACAGACAGACACACATACATGTAAGTAAAAAGGAAAGAAACCTTTAAAAATTATTTTAAATATTACAAGAGGAATAGGTGGCAGGCAACATCTTCATTCTCTGGCCCCTAATCTCCTGTCTGTAGTCTTCCAAGCCATTTCACTCTTCTGAGGTTGGTATTCCTCATGCACCAGATGGAAGGGCCATGCAGGCTCCTCCACAGTCCCCAGATTCTGCTTCTTCGAGCCATTGTTGCTGATGTGCACTGTTGACTCTCAGAGCACCCACATGCTTGTGGCATTTGGAAGCTCAGATTGACATAACACGTATATCTGCAACCCCTCTGTAGTTAACGGCTGCCCTTGGTGTGTCGAATGTAAGTTTGAAGGGTTGGTGTGTTTAACTTGTATTTTCAAAGATGTGGGATTCGTTACATTAGTTTTTACATTATTTTATCTTGGCTAATGGATGTAATCCAAGAGAAAGTTGACAGACCAAAACCCTGTGCTCCTGCAAACCTCATTTTTTATATACTTTCTTTTCCTTGACAAGGTGGTAGGGTCATGAGGCCCCTTGCTGAATTATGCGCTTGGTAGTTTTCCAGATAAAAAATGAATGGTCTGGTCTTTATTATGGGAGCTGTGTCATGTGAGGAGATAAAAGTTGATTTTAAAGTAAAAGGACCAAAGTTTTGGCAGTGACTTCCCATATGGCTTTAGCAACTTACTGTGTTTAAGTTTATTATTTGTAAAGTAGGTGAAAGAGTACACAACAATAGGCAGAGATTTCTTGAGATTAAGAGAGACAATAAATACTGTATTCTTGTTAAGAAACTACATACATTGCTGTTTCTGTAAAGAGTGAATAGTAACAAGAAAGGAAGGAGTAATATATTGGCTACCACTCTGCCACGAGCTTTCAAATGCCTGATATGCAGGGGAAGCTGAAGAGATCAGTGGTTAGATTTAAACCCTGCCACCACATATATACTGAATTAGGATCCAGTTCTTCTTTTTGACTATGACAATAGCAGCTTTTTTCACCTCTCTGAATCTTGGACATCAGGTATGGGTATACAAGCAGGAAAAACACATGCATAAAATAAATCAGTCTTTAAAAAAAAAGTAAAACAAGATTTTCAAAGCTCAAAAAGCTAGGGAGTCTTTTTGGGAATGATAGCCGAATGTCATAGAGGGCTGACAGTTTGGGAGCTGTGGTCATCTGCCTCCCTAGAAGCCAGCCGAGGGTGGTCATGTTCCTTCCACAGTAGAGACCCTTCTTAAGTGCTCAACTTTCTAAATTTAGCCTCATCTGTAGAATGAGATTAAGTGTTAATGATTTTTTTATTTAAAGAATTTATTTCTAATTTTGCATACCAACCTCAGTTCCCCCTCCCTTCTCCCTTGCCTTCTCCTCCCCCAATCCACTCCTCAGAGGGGGTAAGGCCTTTCTTGGGGAGTCAACAAAGTTTGACATACCAAGTTGAGGCAGGACCAAGCCCCTCCCCCCTGTATCAAGGCTGAGCAAGGTATCCCACCTTAGGGAGTGGGCTCCAAAAGAGCCAGTTCATGCCCCTCAGATAGGTCGTGGTACCACTGCCAAGGACCCCCGCAACAAACCAAGTCACATAACTGTCACCCACATTTAGAGGGTCTAGTTCAGTCCCTTGCAGGTTCCCCAGCTGTCAGTCCACAGTCTGTGGGCTCCCTCTCGTTTGGGTTAGCTGTCACTGTGGTTTCCCTCCTTGTTCATATGATTCCTCCTCCCCCTTTTCAACCAAATGGTTAATGATTTTGAGAAGTAATCAGATATTATATAAATGATTTCTTCCTTGAGGCCTGTCACAGGTACTTCATACATTTTAATTCCTTGTCTTGTGGTGTTTGAATTAATTCTCCTGGTTAAAGCAATTCTTGGACGCAGCTTTTTTTTTTTTAATCCTGGTTATATTTGGGAATAAAATCAAGGCTACTTTTCTTTTTATTCATGGATTCTCTCCTAGTCCTTAGTTAGCACTTTTTTTCCTCTTCCAAACTAACCTGATCCTAGCCACATGGTCATGGCTTTTTTTTTTCTCTCTCTACTTTTAGGGATGGGAGGAGTTGAGTCATTATGTTGTAATTACCTTGGAATTTAAGTTGTTCAGGAGCACTGTAGTTTGATTGTTAATAAGTGCTTGGTTTATTCTTTGAATATGAATTACAGTGAACAAGACCCTTTGGCAGGTATATCCAAATAAGAAAGTCTGGTGTAGATTAGCTGTATGTTTCTGGTAGAGGCAGAGATCCTGGCTATCCTGACATTCCCCAGCCAGTGACCATCACTGGGTATTTGCCATCATCAATCCGTCTCTTCTCTGCACTTGTTGGGTGGTAGATCTGATGTCTTGCTGGCTTCTTCCCCCAGACCAAAGTTCTGAGGGTGATCAAAAGAGGCTTCCTTGTAGAATCAGACCCGACAGTTCCAAGATAACAACAAGTCTCAGCTACCATTCCCCCAGACTGACTTCCATATTCTCCCATACAAGGATACACGATTTCTCCAGGAAATTCTCCCAGGACAACAGGTTGGGTAAAGTGGGTAGGGTGGTCCCCAGCTTGAGTTGGATAGGAAGGGAAATTGCAAACAGGGAAAGCCATGGCAGAGCTGGAGGACAACCCTAAGAAAACCAATAAAAATGTGCTGTGCCCTT